CAGAACAGACAGCATTTTGAGTTCACCATCCTTTGAAAGACAGTCTTAGCTTGTATTTGACATGAAATTTCTCTCTTGTAAACTATCTGCCTCCACCAGTAATTGAATGAAGATCTCTCAGGAATCTGTAGCAGCATTTAACCCAGCAAAACCGATATTCTTACAGCCCCTTTATGGCTGCAGAGTCCAAGGCAGTACGCTGTCACATCCTTTGTGGTGACCTCAAGCTGCTCATGCTCCCTTCTTGCAATTTTGCAATACAGAGGCCATGGTGGGATTAAGACCTTAATCTGAAAGGAGTAAGTAAAGGAAGACGCAGAGGTTCTGCATTTGACTGCTAACGGTGCTGGGAACGTCCCTAATATTCACTGCAACTAATCTGTTCACTACCAGGTGGAAAGGTACGTTTGCTCCCCAGATCACAAAGTCACATCGTGCCATAGGTAGTGATTCAGGAGTGACTCTCTCTTGATTTCCAGACTGTCGTTTTCTCTGTCAGCTCAATAAAATGTGATTTGTTGCAGAGAGAATCTATCCAAGTCATTTGGAAAGGCAATGGCCTTTGTTACAAAGGGGCACAAAAATATAATGCCAGAAAAAGAAAGACAAAGAAGAAACCTCTAGGGAATTGTGCTTAGCCCTGTCTTTTGCTGTCTAGCTTCTTTATTTTGGTTTTAATCTGGAGAGAGAAGTTAGAAAAATAGAAAAAAGGGGGAAAGTAGCTCAATGCAGCTTAATAATGAAAGAAACTGCTGAAATAGCATCAGAAAGCTCTTTAAAATGCAAAACTTCTGGCTGATCTGCTACGGAGAATAGAAAAAAAGCCAATCACTTAAAGGTAGTAGCTAAGCAGGCTTTCCCTTCATCATCTCTCACTTCTTCTGATGCCAAAGATCAACAGCACTTTCAGAGGGAAGATGTTTTCGTAGTAAAAGCATAAATACTACAGGACATGAGACACAGATCACTGTTCACAGAGTCGCCAGCTTCTATCAGAAACTTCCTTAGACTACGGTGGACAGGACTCACAGATGAGAGCCGGTCATTGTACTGTTCAGTGACCTCCCAGAAGCATTGCAAAACCCTGGAGAAAAACAGAGAGATACTTTTACCTATGATTAAACAAACATACCTTTTAAATTAAAACCAGTTTGAGTTCTAGTATGATCCAGTTTAATTTATTAGTCTTTTTAATCTCCCTGCTATCCTTCCTCCATGATTCCATGCCATGGCGTTTTAGGTTGTCAGTACCAGTCCTGTGTTTCCATCTCTTTTAACCCCAGATGAGAACAGATGAAAATAGCTTTCCCAAGTCTGTGCTGAATAACTCCAAAACCAAGTTGACTGTGATGTTATTTCCATCCAAGTTAATGTGAGCTAAGGAGCTCTGTTGTTGCACCACGTAACCCCTGCCCTTTTTTTGTGAGGGGTGTCTGCTTAGCAAATCAGACCTTACATGCGGCTTGCTGATGTCATAGCAAAGTCAGTACATCTGGATTTGTTCTCCGAGGCTGAGAAATCAGTTTTTATTTTTTAAGTGACACTGTGTGAGGCAAAGGTAAGGGAAGCAAACCCACTTGCTCTCATTCTGCTAGCCTGCTGTGGCTAAGCTTAGCTGAGATGTGTTGCTTAGAGAAGCTGTAGTCTATGGAATAGCTTTAATTGAACATTTCACGAGAAGGAGTATCCTTAATCCTGTGCGTACGGAGAGCACACACACATTGTGAATTAGACACTGTGATACTTTCTCCTTTTCATGCCCTGTATAGCACTAGTTGGGAAGTCTGTTGCCTTTTGTCAAAAGCAAACAATGTTGCTTCAGGAGTGGATACCTGAAAGCGTGATACTTAAAATGCATACGGTAATACAATATAAGCCTTCCTCCTCCTCCACTCTCTGTGCGCTACCTCTTTATCAGAAATGCAGGAACAGAAGCAAGAGCATGTGTAAGGACATTAGCAGTGCTTGCACTTGGTGAAGAGAGTAATGTTTTTCTCAATGCAACTCATAAAGACCTGCCACTATTGCTGATGCATGTCCAGTAATAAATACTAACCTGTAGCAATTTTAAAGGCTGCATAGTAGCTACAGCAGCCACCTCCTTAGGATGCTTATATATTTGTTTAGCCATTTGTTTGTTGCATACACATGAAGGAAAATAGCAGCTTTACAAATACAGATGGAGATTGGATCTCAGCCCAGAACCATTTAGGAATTGCAGTTTTGCTACTATTGTTATTGTGTTTTTTCTCTGACAGTCACATTTGTTCTGTTGCTGACAACACAGCTTTAGATAATATTAAATCATACATCTAGACCAGACCTGGTCAGTCTGAAGCTGAGTATGTTACCATAAATCTTTTGTCAGCATGTGCACATGGTTTACTATATGCATAAATAAGCAACTTGTACAACTAACTCAGAAAGTTCATTCATTTGTCTTTGGGATGAACTCCATAGAAATAAATGGGATGGAACCAGTTTCAGGATGGCAATGGCTGCTGCTCCAAGCAGAATTAAGATCTTATGGACAAGCCTCCCAAAAGCTTCCGCTCAAAGGAAGATAGGGCTAAAGAACAAAGAAGCTGCTTTGTCAAATGTTCCAGACATAGGGTCTTCTGTCCCGAGCACACACACTACTTCCCATTTGGCTCTAGAAGTCGTTCTGTGCTCCAAGTGCAGTGCAGTTCTCTGACTGGTGCTGACCAAGGCTCCGTGGGTTGTGTTGTTTACATCAGTGAGGGAAAATGGATAGAAAGGGTTGACTTGACTTTCCTGAGGTTATAGAGGAAGACAGAAATTAGAGTCTGTGTCAGTCAGGACTTCTTTGTACCCTGAACTTCATTGAGGATGTTGTGCCACAGGTAACATTCATATGTGGCATATTATTTAGATGTGAATTCCTTTTAACTTCAGCCATCCAAGAATTAGGTATCTGGTCTAAGATGCTTCTCAGGGTCTCCATATCTGGTGGAGACACACGGGCAGCTTCAGGGTAGTAATACTGCCAAGCATCGAGAGAGGCAAGTCACCCACTGGCCATTCCTCCTTCCATGCAGCTGAGACAGCAGCAAGACAACAGGCTTGCGTTAGACATCAGCAGCTCAAATACAGGAGCTGAATGCCCCCAATATGTCCTAGTGGCTGTATACTGTATACTGCTCTAGGCAGAAATGCCTCTGTGATCAGGAAGTCACGGCTTTAACTCCTGACACGTAGCCTTTGCTTGCCTCTGCAGTTGGAGTTGTTTTCGTGAGAAGCATTTTCATGATGTTTCTTCTCCCAGGGTGAAGCTGATGCAAAGGCACCATAGAAAGAAAGAGCAGTGCCTCTAGAAAAGAGTTCTGAATTACTGCATGGGATTATATATTATATTAGGCACCTCTGCTGCATAGTACTTTTAGATTAGATCAAATAGTCATTCTGAAACAGCCTAGTGTGTACTAACCCCTTTTCTGTATTGCCATTCAAGTTAATACATGTAAGAATAGGGCATGCCATTCATAGTGATAAAATGAAGAACTTTCTGCCACCCTCAGACTTTTAAACCTGTCTCAGATGGTCTGAGGGAGAAACCTAAACAGACGGATGGGTCTGCTATTGTAGTACGTAGTACTGTTTTTGGTCAACAGAGCCCAGTTACAGCATAACCCTCTTAGGGAATGAGTCATAGAAATGTTTATATTATGTTCTCTGAAGTTTTATTTTGCAATCTTGCCATCAAATATTTTACCAGAATGTGAGCAGTGCCTAAACCTGACAGAGGATACGAATGGGATGTGTATGTCAAACTAGGAGCAGTTTAGCTCCTGTATCTGTGGTCACAGAGGACATCCATCTGTTTGATTAGCCTGGGGACGTATGCATTTCCAGCTGATAATCATTTGAATAAGATGATATTGGGAATGGGAGTGGGGATAAAACGGAGCAGATGATAATATAAATATATGTTCAGGTGGGGAGACACATTGCCACCACTAACAATACTCATTATGGGTGATGAAATAGAATTCTGATGGGATGGGAGCAAAAGCACTAGTTGAAGAGATCTGCTGGGTTTACTGTTAATTTCTGCAGACATACCAGCTCATTTAGTAATCTAACAGCTCCCATTGCTAGCCACTTAATGTATGATTAATGTGCCACAGGATTTCCCTAGACATTTATGACACCTTTAGGAATAGATATGACAATGACTTTATCACATGGAGTCACTTCATACTATCTGCATCTCTCTTAATGATTTATATATTCAGGAGTGATTTTATCACTAGTACTCAGTAACGTAATAAATGAGAAAACTCAATGGTCTGTAAATTACAACATTGATTAAAGAAGTGATTGCTGATATAACTCTTACATGACTATGGTAATGCTTGCTTATATTTCAGGACAGCAGTTACATGTTAATGATAAATCTACTGCAGTGTTTAGAAATACTTTACAGCTTTAATCAAAATGTAAACATTTATAAACAGATAATGTTTATTGTGGAGGAAACGAGTAGACTTCTGTTACTCTTCAGTGGATGAAATCCACTCCAGAGCCAGCTTTGTCTTGACGACTGAAAGCAGCGTCACCCCCTGATGAAGGTACTCATCAGGGTAGAGCTTTGATTTGCTGCTTGAGTCTATTGAGACCTGGGTTTGTTTGTTGGATTCCTCTTGACCAAGCCATGAAGGAGCCTTGTTCATTGTAAATTCCACAGCACTGTGATCGGCTAGTGGCTCACTGCATAAAAAACAGAAAATCAACCACCAGCTTCATAAATAGTATCCAGTCTTTAGGCATCTCTAGCGTAATTATGCCTCCTGAGCCAATGAAGGATTTTTGTGTTCAGCTGCTCCCATTGTAAAAGGCCATGATTAACATGCATAAAGAGAAGGGAGCCTTTTTTGTTTGTTTTTGGTTTTGAGATGCCAGGGTTACGCTTTGAGCTTGTTTTGTCGCAGTGATTACCTTTCCTTCTTTCTCTCTCTCTTCCCCCCCTTTAGGTTTCTGACAGATGTGACTATGTTTTTGTCAATGGCAAAGAAATGAAAGGCAAGGTGAATGCGCTTGTGAACTTCACTTATCAGTATCTGAGTGCTCCTCTGCAAATCACGGTCTGGGTTCCACGCCTGCCTCTTCAGATCGACATTTCGGACACAGAACTGAGCCAAATAAAGGGCTGGCGAGTCCCAGTTGTTTCTAACAAAAGGTGGGTTTGAGTTAAATTTCTTGGGTGTTTTTGTGAAATGAATGGAGTTGGTTTTAACTCTCAGCAAGAACAGCTGCAGCACCTGCACCCAAATATGCAGCATCTTTCCAGCAGTACTGGAGCAGCAGTACTGGAATCCCCAGCTTTACACTGGACACCTGCAGATATAATAAAGCTTTGAAAATTTGTGGGAGTTTTTTCTGTGCATGTGTCTGTCCTGTGCAAGAGTACAGTGTAGTGCTCTGGTAAGATCCACTTATAGAGTTGTTGCTCAGACACACCAGCTGAGATGAAGAAGTGGTATAGTCCATTTCTATGGTCCTTCATCAGCCTAGGCAGCCATGAACCAGCAATGGTCCAAAAAACAGAAGGGAGGGCTGTTATGTATGGGGGTACTCTCCATAAGCACTCTACTGTTAGTTTTCACTAATGTTCTTGAAAACATTTCTTTATGCTTCATTTTCTTATGAAAAAAGACCCACCAGAGACAGTGATGATGAGGATGAAGATGAGCGGAAAGGAAGAGGATGCACTCTGCAGTACCAGCATGCCATGGTGCGAGTCCTCACACAATTTGTAGCTGAGGATTCTAGCCCTTGGGGTCAGCTGAGCTACCTGCTGGGCTCAGATTGGCAGTTTGACATTACAGACCTGGTGATGGATTTTATGAAACTGGAGGATCCTCACATTGCCAAGCTCCAGGAAGGCAGGATTTTGATTGGACGGGAAGTAGGAATGACAACGATGCAGGTACTGTGCTCTGGACTGCCACATTCTGCCATTCCCATAGAGAACCTGTGTATGAGCATTCTGCTATCTTGAAACAGGATAATTTCCCATTACATTCCTGTGACCTACAGTGTCACACACAGCATTAACCCAAGCTAGAGGTGGCCAAGGCATGTGGTACGGCCAGGAGCTGGAAGCCATTGAGCATTCAGAGATGTTTAGGAGAGGCCGCACTTCTAGGCTCAATGAGAAGTTAGAGTCCTTGTCCCACATGGATGCAATTACCACCAGTCAGCTGATGGGCACCATTTTGACTTTTTGAGACAAAGATCTTTAGATTTTACCAAGTTTCTTTTGACTTATTTAAATGTTAATTTGGGGGGAAAAAACACAACCTGGTTAATAAACCTGAAAGGCACAAGTGGCCAACACCATAACCCAGTTCTGCCCCAGATGAATCCTTACTAAAACCAGTGCACACAGAGTGAATATAGCAAATCTAGGCTGTAGATATGAGATGGGGAAGGTGGAGAAGACAGTGTGCATGAATTAGCTATCCTTAGTTCCCTAAAGATAGCAGTATGGCCCTTAGTTTCATTAAAGGGAAGGATATCCTACTACCTTGATGTTCCATCAGAAACGGAAAAGAGAGAGATGAGAATTTCCAAGCAAAGAAGTGAAGGACAAATCCTAGGTTTTGCTAACCTCCCTTTGAAATGGTTGGGAAGTAAATCTGATGAGCTCATCCATACTGGGACACAGAATAACAGAGGAAGAAGGTTTTAAATCGACTCTTCTAGTGAAATGATGCAAATAACACAACTGAGACAGTATAGTTCTCAGTATTGGATGCAATGTTCTCAGCCATAACCTCTCTACTGATTGTTTTTCTGACCCTACTAATGAAATCAGACTGCCTTTTCAGTGTGTTCTGCCACTTCTGTACATAAAGCTCTGGAGACAAGAAGGTTATTTTAATTGGTCAGGCTTTTCCTAAGATGATTCCTTTGTGTTTCTCCAAAGGTTTTGTCTCCTCTGTCTGACTCCATCCTGGCAGAGAAGACAGTGACTGTGCTAGATGACAAAGTGACCATAACAGACCTTGGAGTGCAGCTGGTAGCTGGGCTTTCACTCTTTCTTCAGCCAAGCACAGCAAGTAGTCAGGCCATTGTGGCTACAACCGTTGCCCAAGAGCTGCTTCATACTCCTAAGCAGGTAGTGTACATTCCATATTTACTGTTGTTGCCTTTTGGGATGGGGCAGTGTTTCATCAACGTGAAGTACAGATAATTCATAACAAGTTTAGAAGTTAGACTTTAAAGGATAGGTGTAGTACCTGTCTATGGCAATTGCTTTCCTCTAGATGTACTCTGGAATTGTCTTGTCATTTCTTCCCTTTAAATATGGACTTAATCTGCAGTAAGAGTTCTGACTACACTGAAGTTTATATTATTTACATTTTTAATACCCTTTCTTTAAATGATGCAACATCTGTTATTTTTGCAACATGGGCAGTCTTTGGACAGTGATCCTTATTTGCTTATGAGCATGCCCTTGTTTTCCATGCCAGAGAGCGAATCACAACAATTTAATATTTTTAAGAGCTAAAAAATAGAGGCAGAAGATAGCCAAATACATTTCTTTCCCCTCCTGGAGTCACAGCAGACTTCCAGGCTCCTCTCTCCTTTTATTGTTCAGATGGATTTGGGGCGTTCATCATTCAGTTTATGTGCTGATCCTACTTAATTTAAGCCAGCAAATCCCCATCTTCAGGTCACAACCCATATGGAAAAGAAGATTGGGGAACATCACCAGATCAAGGCAAACAGTTGCTTTGGAACAGAATAAAAACAAGGGTCAGTAGCAGTGGAACAAGCTATGTTCATTGCTCTTTCAGTCAGTCAATTTGGAGAGTGGGACGGGGGACCATGCAATTAACTCTGTCCACAGCAGCTCCTCTCACAGGAGGAGTATTTCATCTCACATAGGTAGGGAGAGATCTCAAGTCAAGTTTTATGGCCTATTTTCATGATTATTGCTATCTAATTTTCTGGAACATAAAAATTATTTAGATTGTTTTATAACTTAGTGACAGGAAAATGTCCAAACTAGAAGGACATGCTGCCCATCTGTTCCATTTACTGCATCCTGTAAACATAAGAATCTTATGTAATTAACCCATTTATACCCTTCTCCAGGGCTTAGAAACTGTGTCTGACTATTGTCTTCAAAGGCTGTAAAAGCAGAAGCTAAAGCATGCCTAACCCAATTCTGGTACGTAGGACAGAGCACCATTTGTCCTGCAGCATCATTGGAAGAATCAAGGCTTTGATTGCAGATAAAAGAGCTTGCGAATCTGGAAAGGTTGCACAGATATATTGTCAACTTTTATAGATAAATAGATCTATCTTTTATAGATAGAATTATAGATAATCTGTCCTGAGTATGCAAAGATATTTATCAACATCAGGTTATGGCATATTATGACAGGGCACTTCAGTAGTGCACAACATGACATCTCATATTGTATTATGGCATGGTGATATGATATGATGTGTCATTATATATCACTACAATTGGCAAGTTATGAAATAATACAAAAGAGTAAAAATGTGTAAACATGGTTTGTTTTGAAATTATTTTTCCCAGCATCTGTGTAATGGAACGATTTTAGTGCAATATTTTATTGGAGCTGATGTTCTTTTGTGGGACAACTTCACTTTTCTCAAAGTGGCACATTTCTGGACATATCAGGCTCCCTTTGCCTTCTGGTACTGCTGGGCAGTGTGGGATGCTGCTGCCCCTACTGTCCTCTTCCTGGGCCTACAGATAACACTACTGCATCATGCTCACTGAAGGTACCAACTGTAAAAGAGGAGGCAAGAGAAAATCAAGCCTTTTTTTTCTCAGTAAAAGAAGTTTAAAATCTGTTGTTTCTTCTCCAGACTCCATCTGGAAAAAAACCCCAGGACCTAGACTCTGTTAGAAGGCAGTGGGAAACCTTCTCTACACCAGGATCTGGAACGCCCGGGGAAATCTGGTTGCTTAGTAGCAATCCCAAATTAGTCAGTTTTTCCCACTCTTATGCGCATCTTCTGTCCTAGTTTTCTGCAAACATAGCAGCATGTTTTTGTGGAATTCCACTTCAGTCTCTGCCGCTCCTCCCAGCTTCTCCAGTCTGGAGCCTGGCCACCCCCATTGCCTCTGCTTGTCTTCCCACCACCTCCTCTTCACCAGAAGAAAGAGAAGTGTCCTGCCTGCTTCCCAACTGAAGGCTTTGCTGGGAACATGACTCCTCACTTTGGGGAATTTGTGAGAGTCAGTTCCTGCTCAAGCATTGTGAGTGTTTGCAGTCCTGATCGTGGTCATGCCAGGTCACTGTGGAACCTGAGCCCAGTCCCCAGTTACTGGGGCACTTTGGCAGTGCCTTCATGCCGGAGGCCTCAGCTAATTCCACGTACTGTGCAATTCACTTCCTACTTTACTGTAAGCCATTCATTTGCTCTCAGGCCTAAATCTTACTTAGCCTATAGACAGGGCTTGCCCAAGGAAGGGCTGTTGAGAAGAGACCTTAGGGACTTTGCATTTACATTATCAAAAAAATAAGACAGGAATAGATTTCACACTTCAAAATACATTGAAGGAAATATTCTTAGCATAGGAGTGGCCTGTAGAGTCACATACATCTTTTCCTTTCATTTGCAGTTTGAATGGAAGATATTTAAGTCACTTGCCCTTAGAAGAACTAATGCAAATGTAGGAATGCATGTGGCTAAATCTTTTCAAGAAGTGACTCATGATTTAGAGTATATCAGCTGAGATCCTTACTGACCTGGAATTTCAGAAGGGAAGTACTGAGTGTTTTCTGAAAATCAAGTACTTTTGAAAGAGGTTTTTTTCAAGGGGGCGGTCCAGAACTAAGCATATACTTGAATGTTTCAAGGACTTAATTATTTAGGTGTCTTTTTCTCCAAAAACAAAGTTTAGAGAAAGGCCCAAATAACTCACGCAAACCTTACTGGTGCAACTGAAAAACAAAATAACAGTTAAGATAGCTGAAGGTTTTTGTGTTCTCAGGAATGAGTGTGTATGTCTCAGCATTGTTACATGGAAAAAAACAGTCAATGTGTTCTTAGTCAAATGTTTTCCTTGGCTCCACTTTAGCGCCTTCAATAGCCAAGCTTCAACACAGATTAGCAAATGTCCTTGGGTAATTGGTACTCTGGCAGGCACAATATTGTCCCTAGCAGATTAAGCAGTACATCTGTATAGCATAAAGCATTATACAGGTTGTGCCATTACAGATCTTTCAATATCATAGGAATGAATTTAGTGTTTTTGCTGTGACTTTCTTTCAATGAATGTAATGACTGGATTAGTTCCTTGATTATAATGACCGCACCACGTCTGCATAAGTGGCTGCACAAAGCAGCCAAAGCACCAAGTCCTGAAAAGTTGGCAGTTTCTCCAAATACTTAGCAATCTAAAGAGGATGAACTAATGTGTTTTTTTATCTTGGATGCCTTAAGTTAGATATCTTTATCTATAGTTGGGCAGCTAATTACCTGAGGTGACCTCGAGGGATGCTGAGCCCATGCTTCCTTTTTTTTTTTTAAATCAATGGGGAGCTCATTGGCACTGAAAAGTGGCTCAATAATTTAGATAGATACCTAAAAATAAATGAAGGTTGACTAACTTTTAAATATCAAAGTTGAACTATCTTCTGAAAATTTGGAAACTGTAGCTGTGAGCAGTCTATTTTTAGTGGCCATCTGCTCAGGTAGGAAAGCTGTTCCATTTGGCTTGCTGATGGTTGTTAAAATCAACACTGCTATCTTAAAAGCTTCTCCAAAATGTAAATAAAAGAAAACCTACAGTGTTTAAATGTTTTCTGATCCGAGTGAGCTTCAAGGACTCTTAAATTTCATCTGGCTCTGCAGGGAAACTCACAGTCATATCATAGCTTTTCATCACTGTAGGGTATTGCATGTGGTCTAATGAGCTGAAATGGGAGAGTGGATGAAATAAAAGGAAAAAGCAAGCCTTTAATAAATAGCTGGGTGTATTAATATATCTCTCAGTGCTACTGGAAAACTGCAGACATTTTCTTAGGGAAAAAAAGAGCAATGTTAGCGCTTTCTAAAGGCCAAGTTATTCTCTTTCACATGTGTAGTTCCTGTTGAGGTTAGTGACAAGACCCAGCCCTGTGAGGTCATCTGTAACCTCAGGGACTGTCACTCTGACAGGACGTGAGGGTTCTCAGCACCACCTGAATCAGAGCCACAAGCTAGAGATGCTTGCACGTCCCTGCCTTTTGGATGGACATGATACTGTCTTGTTTTAACTTACGTCCTTCATGCAAACTAGTTCTGGGAGTTCACTGACATCTCACAGTTAAGTAACAGACATTAGGAGTATTTTTATGGTGTGGATTCATTACCCCATTCCGGCAATACAAATTACATTTAAATTGTATTTATATCTTCTTTAAACTGACAGAGCAATCTAATGGCTCACAAGTATGACAAAGAAATTAAGCAGCATGGGAAAGGGAGAAAGGATGAATTATTAGATAAGAATCTGAATTCTTCCCTTGCAAATACAAGCAAATTCCCACTGGAATGGAATGTCACATTAGCAGCTTGGACAAAAAGGAGAGAAAGAAATACACAGTAGGGGAATGCATGGTTTGAATTAAGATCTGAGTCTTGGTTGCCTTTCATTTCCACATCATAACGATCAAGCCCAATTTTTACTACACAAGCCACAGGCTTAAAATAAATGCACATGTAATACTTTGATATTTCATGTGATAAAATTGCTAGGGAAATCCATTTCTGCATTCAAGTCCCCAGATAGAACAATCAGAGCTGTTCTAATAGAAGTTGCTGAGAACAGTGTTCCCTTGCCTTTAGTTGAGGAATGGATGTATTTGTTTTCTGCAGAGCCATCCAGCCATCCATTTTTTTCCTTTGGTGTCCTGCCTCACTCCAGGACTATTGCAGCTGACCCCAGCAATTGAGGGCTTATTCACAAATACTTTTATTTGTGCTTTAGTGAATGAAGACCATTAAAAGGGCTCTTTATTCTGGGCATGGAATAAAATCAAATATACCGATCACTCCTCACATCAGTGTTTCTAAGCAGCAGAATTCTCTAAAACGCTACCAGTCCTACACACTTTACTCCCTTATTTTCTGCTTGAAGAATACAAGATAGCATGCCCTGGTATCAAGCTGACCCCAGCTTTTTTGAGGACGTATTGAAGGACACTTTGTAATCACTGACTGTGATGCTGCAGCTGGGCTCAGTGGAACATCCTAAGATACACAGACTTTCAAATGCTGTGTGATGCTTTAGAGGGCAAAATAATCATCACTGTGGCTCCCAAATTTTCACAGGCAACTTGTGTGAGTCCCAGCACAGTGGGACTCATTAGATCTCTGCATGATGGGCTTTCTACTGAGCTTCCAAACCAGCTCCGCTTCCTGCATTCAGGTCACCTTTTGGAGTGTGAGCCTCCTTGTTTTATCTAGGCGGAACAGACATAGCCAGCAAACAATAGTGTTTGTGGTGACTCATACGGCAGGGTTGGAAGTATTCCAGGACAGGCAATACAGAGCTCCTCGGGGACTGTTGGTTTCCATTAGTGCCATGTTACTTCTGTACCCTGGTAATTTCCCCATTGTTTTACCCACCTAAACATAACAAGTGGATAACAAGGGAGATGAAAATACTAAAAAAGGCAAAGTGCAAGTTTATCCAAGATTTATTAAGTGGCATCTTTGGACTGATAAGCAGCAATGTAATTCAAGGCCAGAAAAGGTGGTGGAACTGCAGCAGATCAAGAAGAACTAACCAACTTACTGTTCTGGCGTCTAGTTATACCTGGAAAGGAGGAAAAGAACAGCAAAGGCACAAGAGAAAATGTAGACAAAATGTGTCTTGATAAAGAAAGATTTTTATATGCTTAGGGAAAGCATGGTATTTGATAATCAACAGGGGCTGTGGGAAGCAGTTTCTTTATCTCCTCTGGACTGGATTTTGCTGTCATTAACATGATCTAATGTACATTATCTGACTCACTTCACATCGTCACAGTCACCATATAAATCATCCTGTTCTCTGAGACACTGGCACTAATGTGGTGTTGTGGTTCATTTGTTCTGGGAGTGCAACTGAGTATGTGTGTTTGTGCGTGCATATGTGAGAGAGGAAAAGTGGAAGAAAGAAAGACTGGAGAGCCAGATAATCTCTCAAACTATTTGTTTATGCTTGATAACTAATGAACACAAGCATTTGTCACCTCAGTGTTGAGGGCATCAGACTAGGGGCAGCAACTTTGCAGGTAAGAAGGCTCCAATCCATCTTCATCTGCTGATAGTAATTGGAGGACCTTGTCAGAGATTCAGGGGGATTTATTGATGCGGTACATAGGATTTGCAGAAACAGCTCTTTGAAGGACATGGCACTAAATAATTTCTTTTTTTTTTTTTTTTTCTTTTTAGCTTTTCAGAATTTGTAATCATTTGGGAAATTCACTTCCTTCCCCTGCCTTCAGCTTTCCTTTAACAATGTGAATGAGAGGACATGAACTCTTGCCAAATAGAATATTTGGGCTGATACAATATACTTTGGCAGGATTTGAGATTCTCTCCCTCTTTCTCTCATTTGTTTTCTTTCCCTTTTAATTAATACTGTCCGTAGTATAAGCATGACAATGTTGTGTTGTGAAAAAATTGCTTCTTCCTATGAAAAAAGGATCTCTTGGAAATAAAAAAAACATCAATGCTGGTTGAGAATAATGGCTAAGCTATTGCACACCTCTGTTACCTATAATAAATCACATGTGTGCCTGCAAATTTCAGTTGACTGCAACTTCATTTTTCTCTATCTCTGCTTCATAAAACCAGGAATGCAGAATAGTGGAGAAATAGTGTAAAGAATAAAAGTTGTTTTGAAGTTTCTTACAACTTTGTCAAATTCTAGCTATTTGGGCTGCATTTTTTCCAAGCTGGCTGCCTCTTAACCTGAAAGGTGCCTGAGGGTTGTTAAAGCAGAAAGGAGTCAAGATATCTTGAAGAAGACAGGGAAGAAGAATGTAGAGCCCTCACACGTGTTCGTCTCCAGTGTCTGGATGGAGACCCCAGATCCCTCAGAGGTGCTGTTCTACCACCAATAAAACCTACTTGCATAGTAGGGGCCATAATGAAATCCGAGGCTCTGCAACACTAGGTTGTATGCTGTGTTTGTCTGTTAAGGAATGCACAAAGGATTTAGTAATGTAAATCCTTTTGTAAACATGTGAAACTATGGAAGTCCTCAGCAGAGCTGGGAGGAGGCACAGGCCTCATAATTTCCAGCCTTAACTGTACAAAATTCTGCACTTATTTTCTCATTCTGCTCTCCAAAAGAGAGCACCACTGGCAGACGATGTCAAGCCTGTTGTGACAGATGCTTGAAATGATGCTGGTGTTTTTGCCTTCCATAGGTTGATGAAAACTGTGTATCTTTCACACCTCCGCAGTGGTACACGAGGCTGTCCTCTTGTTTTGGGGAGAAGGCAGGCAACAGGGTGTTGAATTTCCAGAGGAGATGCATCTTTTTCTCTCCACACATATCCATTAAAAAAAAATCCTTTACTTTCCCATGACTGGGTTTGCTCTACTATAGATTTCTATGATATAAATTTAAGCTGTGCCCTGCAGCTTTATGCTTCTGTCTGTTCAGCCATTTCAGGGTTGTTTCTCTAATGAAAGATCAGCTGTTTTAATTTTCTTATGCAGTTCACCCTTCCTAGCTTCTGAGCTACCCTGGCTCTGTTTCAGCTGTTTGAAGTGCATTTGAATCACCAAAAACTTTACCTTCTTTCCTGTTGTGCCATGACTTATTTTTTTCTTTCAGTCCCTCAAGAACTTACTGATAGCATTTTGGAAATCAAATATTCAGTGTAGTCCAACCTTCTGCACAGCTAAATGCCCCTTGCTGTTTTCACTGAAAAGCTTTAAATCTAACTAGAAGGGTAGCAATTCCCTTTGTTTATAACCATAGCATAACAAATTGTAGCCAATTGAAAACCATATTAGGTTGTAAATTTGTATTATGAGTGGACGTTAACAGGGTGGCAATGTTTTTCCCCGATGGTGATTTTCAGCCCAGTCGTTCTGATGTACCCAAGTGTAAAGTTATTAGGGCCATCTGCGGTTTAAGTCTGGGAAGAAAAGAACTTCAGTTTTGTGTGAAGTTGCACTCCAGCAATCTGCCTGCACGTCTGCTGGCTAAACAGGCAAGACATAGAGCAAATGAAAAAATAAAGAAATCTCCTGCAAAGAAAGCTACTGAGACGTGGAGAAGTAAATATCTATATCATCTGGATGGGATTTCAAATGGCAAAGAGCTGACCTCTAGCTTTGTGTTTGCTTCTAATGATGACTTCTAACAGTGCTACCTGCAGAGAACAAAGACAGTCCAATTAAATCCAGGCCATTTGTATTTTTATCGTCGAGATCATACCAGAATCCCCATCCTCCTCTCCTTGATACAGAAATGCAGTGGACTTTTTAATTATCTCAAAGATAAAGTGTGTTTTACTTAAACCTTTCTCCAGCAAAATGGCAATTGTTCCGTGAATCTTTTTCTTTCAGGTGAATCTTCTGCTCCAAGATACTGTGGTAGCTCCTTACTCCTGCTACGATATTTATGCCTTGCTTAATTTGACAGCTCCCTTTGACACCCCTGCATGGGGGACATGAGGAAAATAAGTGTTCTGTCAAGTGCCTCTAGTAATTTTTCTGGTTTGTCTCTTTCAGCCTTTGTATGACAGGAATGACTTTCTTTATAAATCATGTAAATTGTAGCTTGTTAATGGGTACTTTGGTATTAGGACATCTCATATCAATTATTTTATATGTTCTTTTGCAAAACATTTGCAGGAAGGATAACAGTGGAACCTTTAGTGAAAAATGTGACCAATTTTCTGCCCCATCAGTTGAAGCTTGGTTTGCTTTAAATGCAGTGCAGAGCCATTGTCTTCCATTTCCTCCAGCTGCCTTTCAGAGCTGAGAGATTGATGACCTGCAATGAGTTGAGCTGTTTTATTTAAGACCCTGTCTTTAACCATATCCCTCTCCTTTCAGGAAGCTGTAGTAAGCACCTGGATTCAGTTCAGTGACAGCTCTGTTACTCCGCTGGACATTTATGACTCTAAGGACTTCTCCCTTTCTGCTGTATCATTAGATGAAGATGTTGTCTCAATCCACCAGAACGCTGCTTTAAAATGGCCAGTTGTGGTAGCAGAAGGTGAAGGTCAGGGCACGTTAATCAAGGTGGACATGATGATTTCTGAAGCCTGCCAAAAGTCCAAGAGGAAAAGTGTCCTGGCTGTGGGGAATGGCAACATCAAAGTGAAGTTTGGCCAGAATGATGCAGACGCTGATACAGGTGGAGATTATGATGATGATGAGATTGAAAACCACGCTAGCGACCGGCGGCACAAAGTGTCAGATCAGGAACGGTATGGCCAGGATGGACGATTTTACGGTAGCTCTTCAGCAGAGCGAGAGGAAGGTGCCATCAGGAAAGTCAGCACCACAGCAAAATCAGTAATAAAAAATAAAGTAATTAAAAACAATAGACTGGATGGTGGCAAACTCTCAGACGATAGCCAGCTGCAGAACATTCCTATAGACTTCACCAACTTCCCTGCTCAAGTAGACCTCCCAAAAGGCAATGCAGGCATGGAGGAAAATGACCTGGTGCAGACACCTAGGGGCCTTAGCGATTTGGAGATCGGGATGTATGCTCTGCTAGGTGTCTTCTGCCTGGCAATTCTAGTCTTCCTAATAAACTGTGCAACATTTGCACTGAAGTACCGTCACAAGCAGGTTCTGGTGGAAGGACAGGCCACCATGACCCATTCCCATGACTGGGTCTGGCTGGGAAATGAAGCAGAACTGCTGGAGAACACAGCAGATGCATCACCTCAGCAGGATGAGCACACAACTATTATTGACCGAGGCTCGGGTTGCGAGGAGAGCAACCAGCTCCTCAATGGCAGTGCTCAGAAGAACATTCAGAGCCAGGTTCACAGGTGTGCTGACTCAGGGGGCAAGCTCGGAAAGGAACAGAAATCTGAACCTTTACATTCGCCGACATCTAAACGGAAGCGGGTAAAATTCACGACATTCACTACCATCCCACCTGACGATGGTTGTCCTACTGTCAACTCAATCCTAAGTAGCAATGACGATGACATTAAGTGGGTGTGCCAGGATATGGACCTGGGGGACTCCAAAGAGATACGAAACTACATGGAGAAGTTCAAAGACAAAGTGTAGCTCCTCGCTGGGTTTTTTTGGGTTTAACCACACCTTGATGCCTTCAGTTCTACAGTATATATTGGGACAGAGGAAAGGGAGGGGAAGGAATCACCAGGAGAAATGATGAGGCAGTTTTTATAATCAGGGAAAGAAATTTGCCAAACTGTCCATAGTTTGTTTTTGGTTTTCACATTGTTTTGGGTTTTTTTTCAGCAGTTATTCTGCTACTTACGGATTTAGGAAGTGGAATATAAATAGCAGAAAGGAACAAAGAAATGGTATGACCAGTATGATGAACTGGGCAAGATGAGGTTGTGAAAATTTGTTTTATGGGTCATACAAATAATAATGATAGTAATGTTTCAAAGTACCAAAAATATTTGTAAAGAGAAAGGAGAGAATATAAGAGCATGAAAAGAATAAGCAAGAGACAAACAATAACTTGTCTGTATTTCTAATAAAGCATCATGATTATGGATACATGACCCACAAGGAGACTTTTAGGATTGTTACTCAGGCATTTCTTTTTATTCCTTCATTTGAAGTGGAGATGTATCTTTGGCATTACATATGAAGGAGGAAGAAATTACCTGGTGTTTTTATTTTTACTTTTCTTTTTGTCTTGTAAGTTGAAACAGGCTAATTTTCCCTCTTGTATTTTTCTTTTAAATAGCTTGAAAACAGGAAAATTTTCAGTTCGTTAAGTTCACAGTGGACCAAGAACATTTTGTTTCTAAGTTAGCTGTAAATAATCTCCTGTTATTTAAATAATTCAGGGGACAAGTATTGACTAATAATTTTCATGTGGTGTCTCTTCTGAAAGCCTAAGCCTCCATTGTTTCACCCTAGCTAGAAATATGTTCTGTATGGAAGAAATATTAATTTTACTTTCAGGTTTGGATTGTTTATTTAGTTGTTTGTTTTAAATTTCCACAACCAAAGTTCCCATGTTTCACCAAGGGAAGAAGGTGCTGTTTTATGTTAGCTTTTAGAAGTAACAACCGATGGGAGTGCCCCACTGGTGCGTTTTAAATGTACCTGGAACTGAGACCATCACAGGCCAAATATGTACAGCCTGGATTTTGGGGTTTTTTTGCCAAGTCCTTGAATTCATAATTTTGTTCTGTAATTTTCTGTTTATTCTAATGTCACCAGCTCACATCAAGCTCTGAAAGCTAGAAGAATGGACAGAAAGACGCCGATTTTCCCCAAACTTTTATTTCCTTGTACTGGGAGAGCTGGCCTCTGGACAGACTGTTGGAAGGGAGGAAATATTGCTGAAGAAAGATCAAGAAATATCTGGAGCTATTTTATAGGGTTTGTTTTTTTTTTTTTTTTTTTGCCATTGGACCAGCTAAGACTGAAAATTTTAGACTAGATTGTAAAGCTGATGTTTTGAATAAACAAATACAAGACCAGTAATAAATCTGAAGCAAATACAAAACAGAGTCATAGGTTTGTTGTGTAAGCTGGCAGAACTCTGTTGTCTCAGTGCCAGTTTACACTAATGGAGGATACAGATCAAAATCTATACAATGAGGAAAACCACTGTCATCCAAAACCTTTTGTAACTGAAAGGAAGATGGTATATCCAGCCTTTTGGAAAGCAGTATTATGTCCTGACTGTTAGCCAGAAGCACTTGCATTGTCCTGTCTTTACCATGTTTTGCGTTTTTTTTTTAATTACTAAACTCAGTAGTTTGGTTTTTTTTACTTGGACAAAATCAATCCTGCCACCCAGTAACATAGATGGACGTTTTAACAAGATATGCCTAGTATGCATTGTAGACTGAAAGAATGTAATATTTATTTATACATGTTATATGAATTGTAATTAAAATGCTTTACATGGCTTGACAAATTAACTTCTCTTTTCTGAGGGGAGGGGGCTCCTTCTGTCATTTCTATGTTGAAATACTGCATCCACTGCCTAACAGCTGAAACAAAATTTAAGCCGCTTTCCGAAGAGAGGAGGAGGATAGAGATGTATGAAAGTTTTTCACTGCTCTGACCCTTCTTTGTGAACCACTTCCCCTTCCCACCCAACCTGTGGTGATGATGATGGATGGCAGGAGAAGACAGCAGTCAGGCACAGTTCATGGCAGTGTCACTATTCATCTTGTTCATCTTCATGCCTACCATCAGCACGAACAACTCCAGGACTCTTGCTTCTGATGTGTGCAACTTTCGTGCAGCCCAGTCATAAATAATTATGTTCCTTCTCTGATTGATACAGTAGGTTCAGATGGAAGCAAGTTTCACTGAATCACAACTGACATATACAAAGCACCCTGTATCCCAAAGGACCCCAAGCTACTTTACAAGCTAAGCACAGTGATGCATCAGCCACACCTCAGGGATCCGTATATCTTCCTGGGAAAATGCAGGTGTCCCTGAGGTGAAAAAGGCATTTACAGCACGGAGCTGCAAAATACAACAGCAGAGGAACAGGAAAGATAGTATGGAGCAAACATCATACACCATGGTAGCACAGAATATAATTGTTCAAAGTGCATTTTTAAGTTGCTGTGCTGGACAGCCCCTGTTACAGCACACGAAGGATGGCATCTCCAGTAACCCAGTGCTCCCAAGCACTTTCTGGTGTACTGGTACACCAGTACCAGTACCAGGAAAGGGGTAATTACTCAATCACTGTTCCTAGTCCTTGCACCCTGACTTTGCTTTTGGCAGCTGAGGCGTTATAGGACCAGAAGAGAAAAGGGTATCTCCATCTAGCATAAACAGTTGGCTACTGAGAGAAAACCTTGTGAGGAGAATTCATCTTGCTCTGTATTTTCATGGTGGCACGTGCAGGTCCTTCTTGTTCTTCCTATCTCACCACATTGTCTAGGAAAAGTATTCCACAGTAAATGAAAACATTCCTAATTCCTCTCCAAAAGCTCAAGGGCTTTTTTGAAGAAAGAAAAACATGTCTTCATTAAAATTAAAAGGCGGGGGGGAATCAAAGTTTCCCCATGAGAAACTATTTTGCAAGTCCTTTTTGAAAAATAGTGATGTAAATTTTTGTTGAAAGACACACTCCTGTATTAATGCAACTCAGATTGGATTCAACATTCCCAAAAAGGAACAGAGATCTTCTGTAATGAATAGGAAAATTATAGCTTATTCATTGTTTCAGTATTCACTGAAATAATCACCATCTTTTGCTTTTTGTTTATTGACTGCACGTATAGTTCTCTGTTGTCTGTAGATTCAGACTTATGTAGTTTGTTTGAAGTAACTATCCTTTGGAAAAATTGATTTTAATATACAGTGATGATCCTTGTGACATTGACCAATACACCCATGATGCCTCCTTGGGAGTAAGATTTCACTGATGATTAGCCATGTGTCAGTTCTCAGTGACAGTATTTTGTCGTTATATTTAAATTAGACAGAATATGTAGAGTGTCTCCAAAGTGGGTGGTTTCAGAGGATTGCACACGCAGAGTCCATTGACTGCAGCTGTAACACCAGGTTGGACGCTTGCCATTCACAAATGCATATGGCATTTTATGCACACTGCAGATTACCATGGACATGTTACAGTTCTGACTTACTCTTTATCTTGTCTGTGCCATAATAATCACTTTGCAAACACTGATAATCACGTACAACTGCCGACATGAGCACATGCATGGCCAAAGGGAGAGGCTTGAGCAGCAGTTTCTTAAGTGCTGCAGGACTCAGGGGCAGTCAGTGCAGCCACAAAGCAAATTAAGTGGCAACGTAACATCCCTGAAGCACATAAAATAGTTTTCTCTGGTGTTTTTTTACTAATATATGTCTGTTATTGATGTCTTTTAGTTGCCGAGTTATCAACTACTGGATTTCAGCTAACCTCCACATTGGCAACAGAGTGAGGTTTTAAAGCTGTAAGAGGAAGACACCTGACGTACTGCCTATCATAATATGACATCATACTATACTGACGAAGAACTACTGCTCCAGGTTCTGTACCATACATGTGATAGTAGTTAAAATGTGGAAAATATGTTCAGACAGGACACGATGCGTTTAACAACAGGCCTGCATGATGCAAGGCCTGTGATGGTTGGGGGGAGGAGGACTCAGGAAGCCTCTCCAGTCCCAAGGCCCTGCTTCTACTACTTTGTTAGTCACAACTACAGCATTTCTGTCGAGATCCACACCTGCTGTAAACCTGTGCATCTCCACTGAAGCCATCTGGTAGAGCCATGTTAATTGACAGCAGCCAGGAGCCTGGACTTTTGATTTAATATATATGAGAAGTCCCTGACTGTTTACAAAGAGTTATAAAACTGCTTTGCCACATGACAGAACTGAATTTGTGGGCTTCCCAGGATAAAGGGTTGGTTTGCCCTGCCATGAGAGTGGGAAGAGATAAGATAAGGCTACCAGGAGCGCTTGGAGACTTGGGCAGGATGGGGGCAATGGCCGCCTCTCCTGGCACAGCCTGCTCTCTTCCTCAGCAGCAGGAATTGTTTCATGTGTCCTGATACTTCCTTTACTAACACCTGCCAGCCCGGCTCTTTGGGACGTTGCTTCAAACAGAGCAGGGAGAGAGAGTCTTGTTGCTGTGGGTACCTGCTGCCGAGGTCCGGGCTGGCTGAGCTGCAGAGGGCCTTGCTTGCTTTCCTGGAAACCTTGGCGCGGTGCTTCTCTGTGCTCTTGGTAGGCCTTAAGCCCAGAGGAAGCTTAGAAGAGGCCATTGATTTTGACTCCTGTAACTCGTGGCTGAACAGGAGCACGTCTTCAAAATTGCATGGTCCTTGCAAAGGAAGACAGGCTGTATTTGAAGAGACAACAGAGGGAATTAAAGAAAGGGAACAACTCAGCCCTGCCTTCGCATTTAATTTTTCTGAAGCTACAGAACATGGTGCTTCAGAGACAGAGGCAGATACTGAAATTTTTCAATTTATCTTCCACTGACCAAAAATTCCGTCAAAGCCCAATTCTGAGTGAGCCACCGTAAATGATCATCTCAGCAGGGAGGAAACCACCGGGCTGTGAAATATCATTTATTTGAGAAATTCACA